CGCCTGCTGTTGGAGTCACTGACATCCCAATCCTCAGAGGCATTTAGCTGCTCAAATCCCATTGATGTGAACTTTGAGGATCTGAGCCTCACATTTCTCAATGGGGTGACTTCTGTATCATTCACCATGCCACTTGCTAGTCTGTTTGAGATTTCATGGCCTCTGAATAGTGTCAGATTCAACTCATGCTCATGTGTACACCACACATCTGATTTAGGGACAGAACTGGAAAAAGGGTGTGTTTAAAATAAACTACACCTTAATCACAATTAGATCATCATTGCTTTTTGCTTTTGCATTGCATCATTACTTTCTAAGCTCGGTCAAGGTGGTGGATGTCTCCAACTAAATCACTTATATGGTCCCCATCCATCTGCACACTAGCTGAGTACCTTACACTGTTTCAGTTATTTATCCATACAACTCTGCTCGGAAGTATTAGCCCCATTTTACAGCTGGGGCACTGAGGCATAGAGATACTAAATGACTTTTCCAAAGACACAGGAAGTCTGGGGCAAAGCAGGGAACTGAAACTGGGTCTCCCAAGTTCTAGGCTAAAGCCCCTCAACAATGGGCCTAACTACCTAACCAAGCCTCCTCTCCTAAGTTGTGTCTGTGGCCCATGCTCTGAGGCTATGTCTACACTACAATGATCTATTGGAAAAAGGTACGCAAACTGCACACCTTTTTCCAATAGTTTTTTTGGAAGAGGCTCTTCTAAAATTTGGCCCGTCTACACTGGGCCAAATTTCTGAAAAAGCCTTCTGTGGGAGGAGGAAGACAGGGCTTTTGAAAGAGTGCATTTGTTCTTCGGCAAAAAAAAGCAGAAGAGCAGACATGTTCCCTGGATTTGGTATCCTGGAAAAGCCCTGTAGTCTAGACACGCCTGAGTTTCATGTTTCAAAACATTCTGAGGAAAATTAGTGTTTAGTCATCTGCAAAGGTTTGCTTTGATCCTACAGGATATTGTAACAATCAGTTTTCTGTGACCTTTTGAGACATCGGGATTGTAATGAGGAAGGGCATGACTCACCCAGCTGCATGTAGGTAGGTTCACTGTCTTTTGCAGTGGTTGATGTAGCAGCGCTTTAGTCATCTGACCAAGATACACAGCAGTCGTTTCGGGGTATTAAATCAGGAAAAACACAACTTTAAACCAGGGGCATCCGATGAATCTTCAGTAAGACCTTCCCCCTCATTACATTTGGAGCTCATTTTCAAACAGTCCCCCAAGGTCTTGTTGTCCCTTCTGCCACGAGGTTCATCCAACCAGTAAGTTATCTTAGGCAAAAGCTGTATCTACACTATAACTTACGTTGGCACAATTTGTGTCACCCGTGGGGTGATTAACTCACTTATTATTAAATAAGTGCTAGTGTGGACAGTGTTGTGTTGTTGACGTAGCTTCTGCCACTCATAGGGGCTAAAGTAGTTAAGCTGACAGAAAGCTCTCTCCCATTGACTTAGGATGGCTTCATTACTGAGAGTACAACAGTGCAGTTGTACCCATCCAGCTGTGCCTCTGTAAACCCTGTAATGTAGCAATGCCCTCAGTATCTGGCTGCAAAGAGACTTCTCTCGCATCAGATGCAGAGCTCTGCTCTCCTCCTTGTTCAACCCTGAACTGGAGTAGGTCTCCTCCTTTTAATTCCCCACTCTGACTGACCACTGTTGCAGATGCAGTGGGGCAGGGCCATCTGAGTCTAGAGGCTGTCACTATCCCTCTCCTTGCAGTATGTGGTCTGTCTACCCCATCACAGGAACCTACATGCCTACATCCCCAAAATCCTCCTCAGAGGTTACAAGATATACAGATAAGCTGTGACAGATTGAATGTGGGGGAATATCACCAGTGGTAGAAGGCCCTTTTAGACTCTGAGATAACTGCAGTTGAATCTGTGAAATCCTGACCAGCAGGACTGTTTCAAATTATGCACAAACTGCTTAACCTCAGTCCACTTTAGGCTTACAATGTTTATTGTTTCTCAGTCTGACGAGCCATTTATAATTCTATAAGATTGAGTGTTCTGGCTGAGTTGACTACAGGCAGTCCCCGGGTTACGTACAAGATAGGGACTGTAGGTTTGTTCTTAAGTTGAATTTGTATGTAAGTCGGAACTGGTACATATTGTAGGGGAAACTCTAGCCAAGCATTTCTCCAGAGCTCAGTTTTATTCTCCCACACCTCACTTCCCTCAGTCCTTTATTCTCAAGCTGAGGTGTCTGCTGAGAAAAGCCGCTCCGCATCTCCCTGGTCTGCTGGGGGGAAGCAGCTAGTGCAGGGTTGCCTCACCCCGTTTGTAAGTAGGGATCCGATGTAAGTCGGATCCATGTAACCCGGGGACTGCCTGTACTTCTGTGTGAATAGCGCTGCATCAGGAGGCAAAAAAACCCAACCAACCAAAAACAAAACAAAACACCCCACATTGTATCTACTGATTGATTCTAATTTTGTTTTTGTTACTGACATTTTGAATGTATTTGTGACCACTCACCCATGTGATTAAGGTGACCAGAAATCTCAATATTATTGGAACCATCCTGATATTAGGGGCTTTGTCTTATATATGCAGTTATACTCTCCCACCCTCCCTTGGGGAAAAATAGTGGTACAATTTTTCACACTTACTGTCTGGTCACCCTACGTGAGTTAGATCTTTGTCCTTCATGTCTCAGTGAAAACAGTAATGAAACAGTGAACCCTTTATTGATAAGGATTGATGATGACTCTTTTCAAGCTGCCAACCATGTTGACATAGCCTGCTTTTATGCCTTTGCTTAAGAATGAACATTTGGACATTAAGAACTTTCATTTGTCTAATTTCTTGAATTATGAGAGCTTGCTTTTCCAATCTTTATCTTACACTGATGTTAGCATTTAGAGTTCCTCATTATTTCTTTTTAAATCTTTTTTAAAGAGAAATTTTACACACTTGTAATTCATTCATCCTAAACCAAAAAGGTTTTAAGTGAGGTACCATGGTTTGAAGAATCCTAAAATTAGGAGGCCTTAAGTGAGCCCTATTAAAATGCAGTTTCCTACCTGAATTGTCTAGAACAAATGTGTCTCAATGGAGAAGTCCTTAAAAAAATTCTGAGAAAAATCAATAGAAAAACAGAGTACATACACATGCATAAAATGGTATACTTTAAGGCTACGTCTACACTGGCCCCAAATTCCGGAAAAGGGATGCAAAGCAGGTAAGTCAGCATAGGGAAATCCGCGGGGATTTAAATATCCCCCGCGGATTTAAATAAACATGTCCGCCGCTTTTTTCCCGGCTTTTCCCCAAGCCGGCAAAAAAGCGGCGGACATGTTTATTTAAATCCGCGGGGGATTTAAATATCCCCCGCGGATTTAAATAAACATGTCCGCCGCTTTTTTCCCGGCTTTTCCCCAAGCCGGCAAAAAAGCGGCGGACATGTTTATTTAAATCCGCGGGGGATTTAAATATCCCCCGCGGATTTCCCTATGCTGACTTACCTGCTTTGCATCCCTTTTCCGGAATTTGGGGCCAGTGTAGACGTAGCCTAAATGTTTGTAAGTTTCAAACGGAACCAAATTTTGTCAAATTGTTTCTTCCTCATTGAAGACTATAAAAAAAGCTGAGCTTGCCATTTCTAAATGCAACATGTTTAAAATTGTGCAAATAAAAAATTCATTCAGAACATATGGGAAGAGGTGTAATTTGTTTTCCTCAAGAAGATTCTAAGCTGATTTTGCTAAAATTAAGAAACCAAAACAAAGATGAACAAATCATAAAATTTTATACAAATTATTTTTGTGCTGTATTGACTCCAGGAGGCAACAAGTAGCATGGGCTGAAGGACCCTGAGGAGCATGGGGTGGCCATGCAGCCAACAGCTGGAGAGACGCATCAGTTTCCCCTTCAAAGCATTGCTTCTCTCCAGCCGCTGGCTGCATGACCACCCCCTGTCCTCTGGAATCCTCCATCCAGCACCTGCACTACTCACCAACATCTGTGCCTCTTGCCTGCTCCCTGAGGCTGCAGGTGAGCTTTTGTTTGTAAGTTGGATGTTTGCACTCGGGGAGTGCCTTTACTTTGGAGGCTAGAGATTGAACAATTTTAGGCTGTTTCCAGTTCCACAGCACGGGGGAGACCTGACCCATTGCTGAACTGAAACTGAAGGTGTTGTCTCTTCTGAGTGCATGTGCATATCTCACATTAGCTTTATATTAAATGCATGTAAGAGAGCTTGGCCCTACTCTCTTTTGGGGAAAAGATAGTCTAAGGTAAGGAAGACTACATCTTTATTAGGTTAACTCGTTCCCTGCAGTAAAGATATTTACATCTGCTTCGTGGCAAATTGATCATTTTGACCTTTGGATCTGATGAAATTTTTCTCAGCATAGCCTACAGTTACAAGAAGGGAGTTAAATTACGAAGCAACAGAAAGAAATATTTCAGAATGGAAGGATTGGCAATGGCTGTTGGGACAGGGAACAATGAGGCTTAAGATTTAATGTAAAAAAAACCAACCAGGGTAGGTTGAATTTCTTTGCCATTTACTCATTGGAGCTCTGCCTATGTTTCAAATTGTCAAAAAAAAAAAAACCTTAGCAGTCTTGGCTTAATAAATTAATCAGCTGCTTAAACGCGCACACACACAAATAACAAAGATAAAAGACATTAAGCTGCTTTAGGCCTGATCCTCCAGAATCTTATTCAAACAAATGGGCTCACTGACTTTAGTGTGACCACTTGCGAGAGTAAAGGTTGGAAGACTGAGCCTTTTCTACTTACCTAATCTGTTTAAGTATTTATACTGTATTTATCACCATGGTAGCTTTAAGAAATAACATGGCACATTTTGATTAAAATGGGAAAAGCCACTAGCTCCATCACCACACTTCATAAGATGTGCTATTACTTCCTCAATGCACCATTCAGAATACACTTTGTTGCAAACTACACCAAAAGGATATTTTACAGAGTTGTTCATCTCACATGCCCTAACTTTTCCAATTTCATTTTCAGGTGGATATGTTGCTAATAGTTTAGCAATCATGACGGATGCACTTCATATGCTAACTGACCTCAGTGGTATCCTTTTGACTCTGCTTGCTTTGTGGTTATCTTCAAAATCACCAACAAAAAAGTTTACCTTTGGATTTCATCGCTTTGGTATGTAGCTGCCAGATTTTACTATTAGAGCAGTGTTGTACATGATAACTACAAGGAAAGTCTGCAAGTCAGACTTCAGAGCCATAGTGTAAAGCAGTGTTTACCAATTTTATTTGGCCACAGAACTCTTTTAAACTCGAAATAATTTTGTGGAACACCTAATAACAATCTTGTATATGGAGCTGAAAATGTAGACCACAAATAAGGCGATCACACCACTGACTGACTGCGCATAAAGTGCTGAGTAGTGACATCATCGTCCCCACTCTCTGGCTAAGCTGGCATTACACAGGGACACTTATTGTGGCAAACACAAATGAAAATTGTTTTCAATAAAATTAATAAATTCTTAAATATTAATTATTTTTTAAAAATCATACAATATTGTTGTAATGGAATTTTTTTGCGGAACCCTTATTTTTGCTTTGCGGAACCCCGGGGTTCAGAACACCGGGTGGGAAACACTGGTGTAGAGCATGAAATAACAAAATCAGAAATGAGGATATGTAAATCACATTGTAGAGGCCTGACTGTCATATATACGAAGGGCCCTTTACAATTCTCTGTTCATAGCAGGTGGCAGAAAGCTGGCTATGCTGGCTTTTTGGCACCAGGGCTTTTCCCTAGCGACACACTGGGGCCCATGATTTGACCTGGTCTCTCCAGCCCAAGGTTGTGGTACATTGATAGGGTTTCTGGGGGGAGGTTCCACTGCTGCAACCTGTGCTATAGCTATTCGTAGGGCTCGACAAATAATACAATCTACTCGCCACGGGCGAGTAGATTGGAACCCGGA